GCCCTGGCTAGGACTTCCAGTACAATGTTGAATAGAAGTGGTGATAGCGGGCATCCTTGTCTAGTTCCTGTTCTCAAGAGGAATGGTTTCAGTCAATGAGTGACTATTAAGATTAAAATTTTAATTAACTTGAAATTTAATTAAAACCAATGTTGTAACTAAATGAGGCACACGTGATTTTTATTTTCCTCTGACTAAAGCTAATTTCATTTACCATTTTTAATTTATATGTTTGGGAATCAGTTCAGCTTACATGGGAACTTAATTGGTAGAATTAACTAAATACTGTCATCAAATCATGAAATTTGTTTGTTCTCTTCTCCTGAGGTAATTTTGTTTCCAATTGGTTATACTCCATCACCTCTACTCCCATTTTCAAAAGTGTTTTCTTTGTCCTACCATTTAATATTAGTCTTTATTTGGTAAAGTTTAAGTGAAGGATGTTCATGAAATATAACTGCATTATATTACAGTTTCATTCAGTGTCCTGATAGAATTGACCAGGATAAAAAATTTTAACTTCTTTATCATGCAATATGCTAATGAGATATTGATTAATATATTAGGAGAAATGATAGAATAAAAATCAAGTGAATTGTTTATTATAATTTTTTATCTGACAGGAAATCTAAAAGATACTGCTTATTAAGAATATATGTGAACTGATGTCTATTTGAAGTTGAAAAATAATTTTTCTACATATATATTCATATATTTACAACATATTTTCAGTCAAATTTTAAAAAGTTCTAACTTTTTAAATGATCCACGCACTGGCACTGAGATTTTCACCAATATTGGTCTATAGGAGACTAAGTGAGGTGACAACAATAATAATGAATATTTACTTTTCAAGAAAAAAAAACAGAAGAACCCTGAAAAGCATTAATCCTGTAAATTAAGAAAAGTTAAATTAAACACATTGTGTATAGATCAAAGTCCAAAAGAGAAACTCTAACTGAAAAATGAATTTGCTAAAAATCTATTTTCTCGCCTATGGTATAAGTGACTGGATAATCTCTAGTTTCTTACTAGATTTTATATCCTAAGAGTCTGTTGTTGTTATGTGCCGCCGAGTTGGACCCAACTCAGAGCAACCCCTCCTGGGGTTTCCGAGGCGGTATCACTACAGAAGTAGATTGCCCAACCATCCTTCCAAGGAGTGGCTGGTGGGTTTGAACCACCAGATTACTGGTTAGCAGTCAAGTGCCTTATCCCAAGAGTCTAGGTCATGTAATAGTACTGACTTACCTTTTTTTTCTTAAGATGGTCAAAATAGGCAGACATTTTTTTTTTCTTTTTGACACATTATATCTTCCCATAATATAAAAACTATATAAATTTCCCAAAGTAAAATGGACTAACCTCCCACAGCATGTAAAATGACTTCTGGAGCACAAGTATCCCACTTCTTACATCCAGGACTTGCAAATACATAAGCAGAGGCTTTGCCTTCAATTAGCTGAATAATCTGTAAAGTAAAAAAATAATTATCCCTCAACCATGAAATAATGACTGACATAGAAATAGGAAAACTGCTTGCTTCTATCTAATATTTCTCATTATACCTCTCAAACTTAACTTATGTGAAAGCCTTAGCAGGCTTAAATGATACTAGGATTATGAAAAAATATACAGAACAGACGCATAATATAGTGACGTGAGGAAGGAAAGACTGGTCAAATAACCTATGTCGAGGAGATCTGAACAGTCTCATTTTCCAAGTTAGATAAAATAAAAAAGTTTTCCTTTTATGTGTTATTTTTATTTCTTTTTGGAAAAGGGTATCTATTGCAGAAAAATTAAATAATGCTTTTTAAACTTCTAAAAAACTGACCATTATTACATAAAAGATAGAGAAGTATAAGCTAATGTAATAATTTATAAAGTGTAATAGTTCTAACAGTTGTGCAATGCTGATGAGTTGAAGAAGCACTTTTAAAAGTCTTCAGATTTGGCTTTTGGCTACCAAAACACAACTTTTAAAATAGTTATCTTAATAATTCTTGTGATACTCATGTAAAACTGAGGTAACTGGTAGCACTTCTGTGACTCCAAGCAGTAATTTACTATCAAGCTTTCATTAGTCTATTGACTTATTTTGTTAATATTATAATACAATTATTACTGTAAACTCAGACTTCAAATATTCATATGAAGAGAACAGACTGAGAAAATCAGAAAAATCTCAGTGAACACGAAGTAACCAATTATTCCTTTCAGTATTACAGGCATATCTTGTTTTACTGCACTTCACTTTATTGTGCTTCACAGATACTGTATTTTTTTTTTTTACAAATTGAAGGTTTGTACCAACTCTGCATTAAGCAAGTCTATCTGTGTCATTTTCCAATAGGCATGTGGTCATTTTGTGTCTGTGTCATATTTTGGTAATTCTCAAAATATTTCAGATTTTTCCATAATACCATCACATACTTAATAGACTACTGTTAGTATAAATATAACTTTCATATGCACTGGGAAACCAAATATTCGTGTGACTCACTTTATTGTGAAATTTGCATTATTGTGGTGATCTGGAACAGATCTCACAGTATCTCCGAGGTATGCCTGTATTCACGAATATCTTCAAACATTTAAACCATGCTGTAGGCTTCTTTTTCATTTAACAAATATTTTTCAAATCTTATTATGTGCCAAGAGTTATGCCAGTATATTTTTCTGAGAGGAGAGAGTTGTAGCCTTTATTATATTCTCAAAGGGGTCCTTCATGTAAGAAAGTAAAGAACTCATCAACAAGGTCTTTTCACAGGAAAGAGTTGGGGATGTGCAGGATGGGGACTTTGTTATTAAAGGAGGATGGGTCACCACTGGGAATAAAAGAGGTATAGAGTTTGTGTTTACAAAAGTATGGATACCTGTCACTATTTATGTTTCAGTGAATACTAGGAAATCAGAGGACATATTGCACAGGGCAAAACTGCAGCAAAAGACCTTTTTTTTTTTTAATTGTGATTTGGGTGAAAGTTTACAAAGCAAATTCACTTTCCATACAGCAGTTCACATACACTTTGTCTCATTTTTGAGACAATTTACTTTGACTACAATTTACCACATTGCAATAGCTCCCCTCTCACTTCCTCCCCATAGTAACTTCTTCCCTGTGTCCATCCCTCCATGCATTCCTGCCCCTGAGCTGTCTCCCTGTGCATACACAGCCCTTCTATTCTCCCATGATTATTCTCTCCAAGGAGTGTATCTACCTAGCGTAAATGTTCACCTCATATGCCTGTCTTTTGTTTGGCTGGAAGCCACAGGAGTGGATTCAATTCCAGACCTAAAGGGCAGCCAGGCGCCATAGTCTCAGTGGTTCTACCAGGCTCTATTAGACCATCAAATCTGGTCCTTTTTTTTTTTTCCCCAAATGATTTTGAGTTTTGTTCCACATTGTTCTCCCACTCTATCCAGGATGTCCTACATAGATCCCCCTCCCAGTGGTTAACAGTAGTAGCCAGGCACCATCTAGTTCTTCTGGTCTTATAGTTGTATAGGCTGAGGATCGCATGGTGTACCAGTCACTTGGACTAATTGTTTCCATGAATCTTTGGTTTTCTTCATTTTTCTTTGTTCTGGACGAGGAGAGATGCACTGTTGCATCTAGATAGCCACTTGCAAGTTTTTAAGATCCCATTCACTACTCGCCAAAGTAGGATGTGGAACAATGTTTTGTGTAGTGTTTTATGCCAATTGAGCTTGATGTCCCCTGTGACTATAGTCCAGAGCCTACAGGTTCAACTACTTGGTCCCTCTGGCTAGCTGGCTATGGCCAAGAAGTGACTACAACCTGGTCCCTTGTCAGCTCTACTATATACCTGGGAATTCTTACAGGACATACAAATACATTTGTAGAAACATTGTCTGCCAACTCTATACATGGTCATGGGCACACTCCCCCCTGCATAGACATACCTAATAGTTCAGCCTGTCCACACCTCTCTCCACCCGTATATCCATGTTTGCCTTCACTGACAACACAGTACTGTATGTGCAAAAGGGTTCATCTTTGTTGTCTGTACCTCCCATGTACCTCTCTAAAAGATCTTTTTAAAGTGTTAAAGAGCAAAGATGTCACTTTGAAGATTAAGGTGCACCTGACCCAAGCTATGGTATTTTCTTTCAATCATTAAAAATTTTTGTTTTTTAACCCTGGTATTTTCAATAACCTCATATACATGTGAAAACTGGACAAAGAATAAGGAAGACTGAAGAAGAATTGATGCATTTGAATTGTGGTGTTATGAAGAATACTGACTGCTAGAAGAACAAACAAATCTATCTTGGAGGAATTACAGCCAGAATGCTCCTTAGAAGCGAGAATGGTCAGATTTTCTCAGTCACATTTGGGTCATGTTATCAAAAGGACCCGTCCCTGGAGATCATGCTGGGTAAGGCAGAGGGTCAGCAAAAAAGGTGAAGACCCTCAAGAAGATGGACTGACACAGTGGCTGTGACAGTCCCTATTTCCTTTCTAGTTAATGGCACCATCAAGCATGACAATGATCATGAGGATGGGACAGGACTTGGCAGTGTTTTTTTCTTTTGTACAGAAGGTCACTATGAGTCAGAACTGATGTAACGGCACCTAACAACAACTAGGATAACATTTTTACTTTGAAATATTTAAGATTTTTTCCCCCCACAATATTGTTGTTTTAAAATTTCCATTTCTATCCCTGTTGTTTATCAGTACATACCTTTAGAAAATCTAAAATTAGTTAAACATTGCTTTTCCCCTGCCAGCATATAAATGTGAAACTGCACGTGTATTGGAACTACATGCAGTTTAGTATCACTAGAATCTGAGTTGGGAGATGGCAGGAGAAGAGGCTAGAGGACCATGCTGGAGCCAGGTTATAGGGGCCTTTACATTCCATACTAATAGGGTTGTACTTTAAATTTTAAGTGATAGGATCATCCAAGGATTTAGAGCAGGGTGGTAATATAAGGTAAGTTTTGCATTTTTAAATGCCCTAGTTGCATCGTGGAGACTGAGACTGAACACGGAGACCATGCTGAAGGACTATAATAGTCTGGGTGAGGGATGATGATGACAAGTTTCAGCTAGGGCACTGGCAGTAGAGATGGACAAGAGGATACAGATTAGGGAAGTATTAAGAAAATATAGAGGTAGGGACAGATTGATAAAATGTGAGGAAGAAAGGAGCCTAGGATGGCTTTCAAGTGTCCAGATGAAACAATTAGGAAAATGATGGTGCCATTAACTAGATAGGCAATAGGGAGAGGAACACATCTGCAGAATGGGTAGAAAAGGTATGAGCTCAAATTGGACAGGCTGAATTTGAGATAGCAGAGTGATGGTCTCATAAAGATATCCAAGGAGCAATCAAATGAGAAGAGATCAGGGCTAGGGATATAGATAAAATTGTGTTTCGTTTCACATTGTCTCAGGAGAGTGGAAGTCTGGCTAAAAGAAAGAAGTAGCCAGGAAGGGGCAGGCAGACTCATCCTTAGAGTCTGTAGAAGAAAGGTCTAGGAAGTAATCCAGAATGCTCCATGGGAAAATAAGGGCCAGTGAGAGGTATAGGATTGTACCCTAGTTACATACATGAACACTGTATGTACATTTTTTTTTTTTTTTTTTTTTTAATCGTTTCTGTATTTCTCTTAATTTCTTTAGCTCCAAACGCTCACTTGTTGAAGTTGTTAGAGTTGAGCAATCCTCTTCCAAGAAATCTTGGACTATTTTCTCTATGCTTTTATTTGTCTCTTCCTGTTCTGGAATTCTGATTACACATAGGTTATTCGTTTGT